ATGCCTTTTAAGGATACCAGAAAAACACCTGTGGAAACAGAGGTGGCAATTCACCAAATCTGAATCACTGTAATGAGCCACAACATAAAATCCCTGGAGAAGGTATGTACTGACGTGATCAGAGGAGCAAAGGAAAAGAATCTCAAAGTGAAAGGACCTACCAAGACTTTGAGAATCATTACAAGAAAAACTCCTTGTGGCGAAGGTTCTAAGACATGGGATCGTTTCCAGATGAGAATCCACAAGCGACTCATTGACTTGCACAGCCCTTCTGAGATTGTTAAGCACATGACTTCCAACAGCATTGAGCCAGGAGTTGAGGTGGAAGTCACCATTGCAGATGCTTAAGTCAGCTATTTTAATAAACTGATTACCAGTTGTTAAAAAAAAAAAAGAATAAGTGTGCTAATAACTCTTTGTTAATCCCTATTCTATGTAGCTGTTAGACATGCTGTGCTTACAGTCACATAGTACATTCTATGTCACTGTACTTTAACCAAGATATCTGTGCTGGACGTGCTCACAGGCACATCCCAGCTCTCTATTGCTTTTACCTGTTTAGAAAAGTTTTAAGTTGGGCCGGGCGCGGTGGCTCACGCCTGTAATCCCAGCACTTTGGGAGGCCGAGGCGGGTGGATCACGAGGTCAAGAGATCGAGACCATCCTGGTCAACATGGTGAAACCCCATCTCTACTAAAAATACAAAAAATTAGCTGGGCATGGTGGCGCGTGCCTGTAATCCCAGCTACTCAGGAGGCTGAGGCAGGAGAATTGCCTGAACCCAGGAGGCGGAAGTTGCGGTGAGCCGAGATCGTGCCATTGCACTCCAGCCTGGGTAACAAGAGCGAAACTCCGTCTCAAAAAAAAAAAAGAAAAGTTTTAAGTTGTTAGCCGGTTAGGTTTTAGTTTAGATTGTGAGGTCTGGCTCCAGTCAACAGAGATCAGACACAGCAGTAAGGATGACCCCAAATGCCTAAGGGATAAATGTGTGTGTTTTCCTTTGTTGATTGTACTCTCATGGCACAGTGGCTAGCAAGGGTACCCTTCCTGCAGTCCAGGAAGTAAAAATTGCATTGCTGAAAGATCCTTTGTCTCAGTGCTAATTTTTCTTTGCAGCACCCAGCATCTATTTCCAACAGGGAAGTAACCATTTTCCTGCTGGGTTCACCTTGCATCCCCAGGGTGGCCCCATTTCTTTGACTGAGTGATGGAGTGACTATTGCCACTAGCTTTGGGGCCAGACCCTCCAAGTTCCAGTCGTGGCTCCACGCATCAAGTCCCAACCTAAAGGCATGCAAGATACTTTGTCCCTTGGTCTCTTTAGCCATAAGCAAAAACTAGTAACAGTAGTTACCTCTTAGTACGTTCTGGGGGGTAAACGAGAAACCAGTGTGAGGAAGCCTGGCCCCTCCTAAGGGCTTGACGAATGTCAACTATGTAGTTCTAAGCCTGAATGGGCCATCCCAGGATGATCAGATCTGTCATCATTACAACACGCCAGGAGTTGAAGTGGGCAAAAAACATCAGGTCAGACATGCTGGCGGGCCAAGGGCTTTGCAGCTTTCCACCAGACACTCAAACCGTGAGAGCTGCGGGCTCAGCATCCTGCTGGCCAGGAGTCCCCAAACCTGGCTGTGCTTCAGAGGAGACGAGGGGTTTAAAAGGCAACAGACCAAAAAGCTCTCCAGGTGATCCTGATGGGTGGCCAGGTTCATGGACTGCTGAGCTGCCCTAGCTCCCTTACAGAGGGCAGTGGTGGGGAGGTGGAGACGCAGGGAGAAACGATCTGTCCAAATTCCTGCAGTCAGTGGCCAAGCTGGGCCCAGCACTTGCCGTGTGACCTCAAAGCCCCCATCGTCTACCCTCAAGGGTTTCCTACAGCACTGACAGTCAGGCCCTCTTGGCCAGAAGCCACCTGGGAGGAAGTGACCCAGCCAGGAATCATCCCGAAGCTGCCTGAATGCCTTGTGTCCTTGGAAGCATTTTTGTCATCTAAAAGGTGGAAGACTGCACTTCCTGGTAACATAGTTAAACACATTCCTCTAGAAGAAAGGCTGGGGCCGGGCACAATGGCTGGCTGGGCACATTGGCTCATGCCTGTAATTCCAACATTTTGGGAGGCTGAGGCTGGCAGACCACTTGAGGTCAAGAATTCAAGGCCAGCCTGGCTGACATGGGGAAACACCATCTCTACTAAAAATACAAAAAGTAGCCAGGCATGGTGGTGCGTGCCTATAATCCCAGCTACTCGGGAGGCTGAGGCAGGAGAATCACTTGAATCCAGGAGGCAGAGTTTGCAGTGAGCCGAGATTGGGCCACTGCACTTCAGCCTGGATGACAGAGCAAGATTCTGTCTCAAAAAATAAATAGGCCGGGTGTGGTGGCTCACACCTGTAATCCTAGCACTTTGGGAGGCCGAGGCGGGTGGATCACATGGTCAGGAGTTCAAGACGAGCCTGGCCACAATGGTGAAACCCCATCTCTACCAAAAATATGAAAAAATTGGCCAGGTATGGTAGCGGGTGCCTGTAATCCCAGCTCCTTGGGAGGCTGAGGCAGAGAATCGCTTGAACCCTGGAGGCAGAGGTTGCAAGATCACACCACTGCACTCCAACCTGGTCAACAGAGTAAGACTCCATCTTAAAAAATTAATTAATTAATTAAAATAAGTAAAAGAATGCCACTCCTTCATGAAGGGTCATTTTAGCTGAATCTAAGTAGGAGCCTTCACCTTGTGGACACAAAGGACACCCTGGCTGGGAGGCTGGGTTGAGCCCTTTACATTTGGAGAATTGTTTCCTGCAAATCAGGAAGAGCTGAGCTCAGCCATCTGTTTTAGAATCCCCTCTTTTCAGGAGGAGGGTAAATATCTATGTTTGGAAATGAAGAATAGGTGTCAAATGACAGTCATTTCTCTTTAATGGCAGACATTTGTTAATGATTATATAAGTGTACAGAGGTGAGGCTGTCACAGTCTGGACATCACGATTTCCTAGAAATATATTTGCATTGAGGACCAGATGGCATTTGGACTGCCAGAGACACCGAGGCTCAGATGAGCAGGTCTTTGCTCCTGCCTCTCTCTCCTCCTGCTGGCCCGGCTGGCAGTGCCAGGAAGGGGCCTTGTCAGCTGACTCCTGCACTGGTGGTCTCCCCTGGGAGGGAGGGAGAGAGGAAGGGTTCATGGGACACACGCAGGCCTCACCATCAGGCAGCTTCGGGATGATTCCTCGCTGGGTCACTTCCTCCCAGGTGGCCTTTGGCCAAGTGGGCCTCACTGTCATCACCAAAGAGCGTGGATAATGCCACCTATGTGATGCAAGGAAGGTGCCCGCCCAGAGCCTGGCAGTGGGTGTGCTGTGAGTGACAGCAGCTGTGGTCACCAGGCCTGGACTCCTCCCTGGCCTGACCTGTTTTGGGGCTGAGACGCTGGCTCACTGCCACGCTGTGCTCTAAAAAGGGAATGTAGTCTCAGGTCCCAGGCAGGGCAGGAAACAGAGCCTCATTCCCAGCCCACGTGCTCCTCACAGGCCTCAATCTCCCCATGGAGGATGAGGGCCAGAGGGAGGGGCTCTGGAGCTCTTCCAGCCTCAACAGGCTACATATTTGAATGACTGGAGGCTTAGACTGGCTGCTCATTAAAATCACCTGCTGTGGCTGGGTCCAATGGCTCACGCTGTAATCCCAGAACTTTGGGAGGCCAAGGCGGGCAGATCACCTGAGGTCAAGAGTTCAAGTGAAACCCCGTCTCTACTAAAAATACAAAAATTAGCCAGGCGTGGTGGTGGGTGCCGGTCAACTCAACCACTTGGGAAGCTGAGGCAGGAGAATCTCTTGAGCCCAGGAGGCAGAGGTTGCAGTGAGCCGAGATGGTGCCACTGTACTCAGCCTG